ATCCTGCCATGGCAGGGGGTCGGACTTGGTGATCTGCTCAGGTCCCTTCCGACCCGACCTACTATGAAACATCCAGATCCATTGGAAAGAGGCTCTCAGGCTGTTGGAGGCCCTGAGTCCACACTCAGGATAGGGGGTTGGGATGGCTGCAATGTGGACAGGATTTAGGTCCCATTATTCCATTGGCAGAGATGGGAGAGTTTTGCACATGCCCAATCCTCCTGCCCCAAAAACATCACCTACCACAGTTGAGATCTTGCTCAGATCCAAGAATGCGTTGTTGATGCTGCCCATCAAGTTCAGGAAGTTCTGGTCCTTGTAGTTGAAGCGGTTCCCAAAGACAATGGAGCAGATGACATTGGCAATCGAGTGTGTGATGGCGAGGGTGGGGTCAAAGGGAGAACCTGGTGGTGGGGAGATCAGAGGGTCAATGAGCACCAATCTTAGGAGTATCAAGCTCTGGAGACCCCTGACACCAGGGCGGGTAAAGTTTTAATTATGAGTTTTCCCCAAAGCCTGGGTTGAGGGTGTGACCTCAAAACTTCCGCAGATGTATGCAGGCTCAGGTTTAGCTGGCTCAGATCCAGCTCGCAGTCATGGGTGTTGTGATGAGGACCTTGGCACTGACTGCAAACATTTCGGAGGGTAACATGAGGGGTGAGGTGGCATGGAGCCCTGTCCTATGCACGGCTGTGCTGTTTGGCACACCTGAGAGAGGGAGCTGCGACTGGGGTGTATCTTCCCATGCTGGCATTAGTGCTGGGTATGTGCTCAGAAAGGAAGAAGTTGTGAGCTGCTGGAAGAAGTTCCCCAGGGTATGAAGGTCCTCAAGGACCAGGGCCCAGCAGTGCTGGCAGGCTGGTCTGGATTTTGAGAAGATCCTGGTATTTCCAGGGTGTCCTCTTGGAGAACTCCCCTGGCAGTGACGGGAGCTGCTGGGCTCTGAGGACTTGGACAAACCTAGACTCCTCCTTGAGACCTGGAGTTGGGAGTGGAGCTCCTTGGAAAGCAGCTCTCTCAGGTATTTTATTATCGATGCCCCTTAACCAGAACCAGACAAGAAGCATTTGAGTTCGCACCACCTGCAGAGCGGTTTAGAAAGCACCGACCTTTGGTCAAACTGGGGATGGGTAAATTGTGTGAATAAAATAACTTAAAACTATGTTAAAATCTTGGAGGAAAACTTAGAAATTGTGGGGGTGAGTGCATCCCATTTTAATTTGCGAATCTCCTCAGCATTTGTTAGTTAGAACTTGAAACTCAGCACTGCTGGGCAGGAAGGACTCTTTGTGTGCTGTGAACTAGGGCTGTGCGAAGCTTCGGGTGCTGACTGAATTCAGAGGAGATTCAGCCCAATTGGGTGGCCGAATCTCTGAATCCAAATCAAATCAGGGGACCAATTAAAAAGGTCTGACTCAATTCAAAGCTCTCGGAATTGATTTGGAAAATATTTGGAGAACTTTGGTGATTTGGGCAGTTCCTGGTGGCTGCAGCAGGGAGCTGGACGCGGACCCTGAGCTGGTAAGTAGGGGTCGGAGGGGGGAGGGGAACATGGGGGGACCCCTGCCAGGCCCCATCCCCTGTCTGCTCCCCCAGCCCCCCCATGGCTGACCTGCCCACCCCAGCTCCAGGGTTTATAAAAAAACTAACAGACTCACTGGGTGCTGCCTGGTGTGGGGGGGGAGCGATCCCTGCTGCCCCCCACTGCCCCAGGCTGCATGGGGGGTTCTGCCATGAGCCCCCTGACTCCTGCCCACTCTCCCAGCCCCCCCCCCAATGGTTTCCACACCTGCCCCAGCTCCTATGTCAGCGTCTCCAAACCTGGACCCAATTTAGTCAGATATGTGGGTGTTGAAACCCTCTTAAAGTTTTATGGTCAATCCAGTGACCATTTTCTTGCTTATTTATTCTGTTACCATGAAGGCGCTGGGTTCTCCCTTTGTGGGGTCTTGTTCTGGCCTCTCTGAAAGCGAGTGAAGGCCAGGCATTGGGGTGGCTTGGCTTTGTTGAGCCTGAGCCCCACAGCTCCCATCAACCTCTATTTGAAGGCCTGGCTCCTCCATACTTCTGTACATTGGGTTCAAATATTCTCAATACCT